ACTGGAGGCAGAGACTCCTTGAAGTTTGGCCTCTCCTTCAGCCAGAAAACTCTGTCAGTTAAGAGGCACCATCGGAGGGCTCTTTGTGGAGGGGTAGGGGAGGGTGTCCAGCATGAGGGGAGTCCCACCCAGGACCACCCCTCCCCCCCACATCAGGATTGAGGCCCATGGCCAGCTGGACGGCTTCTTAAGTGAGGCAGGACCAGAAAGAGGCCTGTCAGCACCCACTTAAACGCCACACTGGTGTCTGGTCAGGGCCCAGGAGGCAGACGCAACATGGGGGTTGGGTAAGGTGACCAGATTTAAAACAGGACACCATTGACCCGGGGAGGGGCGGGAGGGGGGTTCTTGATTAAAAATTTGGTCTATTTGGACCAAATAGACTGTTCCCTAGCTTGTCGTGCATTCTTTCCAAAAATCGGGACTTTTTTAAAACGCCAAAAAATCGGGACTGTACCGCTAAAAGCAGGACGTCTGGTCACCTTAGGGTTGGGGGAAAACTGTCAGGAAGCAGGCGGGCACCAAACCCTTTCCCGAGCAGCTGCTTGGCACTCAGGCTTGTTCCAGTTCCTACGTGGGAGCTGGGGGGCGCTGTGCACTGTCCGCTGCTGGCCCGCTTAGTTTGCTAACACAACCCCCTCCCGGTCACCTGAGCGTGTGCTGAAAAGCAATCAAACAGGCTACCAGGTGAGCGGGCTGTCCACAAGCTGCGCCCTGAGGTCACGCGCTGTCGTTATTGGTGTTACATAGATGTCATCGAGCTGGGTTCTGAGCCATAGGGACCCTGCGTGTGCACACCAGAAGGAACGGCGGCCCAGTCCTGCACCAGCCTCACCAGGGTCTCCAGGCCTGAGGTCGGCAGTTTGAAACCACCAGGACTGTGAGACCATTTACAGAAGCCCAGGAGCAGTTCTACCCTGCCCTGCAGGCACAGCATGAATTGGAGCTGACTGGAGGGCAGTGAGTGATTGTCGTGGATTGAATTCTGCCCCCTCCCCCCAATATGTGTTGGAATCTAGCCCAATACCTGTGGGTGCCATCCTATTTAGGACTCGGGTCTCTTGGTTACGTTAATGAGACCACACCAGGATCCGTGTAAGGTGTGTCGCAAACCTACGTGCTTTGGGGCTATACAAAGAGTAAAGCTGGTAGCATGCGCAGAGGGGAAGGTGCAGGCCGCATGGGGGGCCCTCCCAGGAAGACGGAGACTGACCCCATGTCGAGTGACCCTGCCCCGGGATCTGGTGCCAGGCCCCAGACTTCTAGCCCCCGACACTGTTGGAAAATAAATTTCCGTTTCTAAAAGCCATACGCTTGATACAGTCCTCAGCATAAGAAACTGTAAGGTTTCTCGAGTGGCTTCACATGAAGAAAGAATTCACGCCGAAGCCCGTTTTGTATCCAAATGAGTTTTTGGGAAGGACGGGACAAGTTTCAGGTGTTGCGGTCTCAAAAGGGTACCTGTTATCCCTGGGAAGCATGTCAAGCTGCGTGCCAGCCATGCTGGAGTTCACAGCTGGGCATGAAAACCCACTTGGAAAAGAGCATCCACGCATTTGGATCTTGGGGGGATCCTGGGAGGCCAGAAGCCCTAGAACCCTAGAGGCTAAGAGCATGTGGGCCCTGAACAGGCCTGGAGCAGACGCGTGTGCACCCACACCTGCCTTTGACCAGGAGCAGGGTAAAAAGGCAGTAGCCTTCCCACAGCCAGGATAGTCAAGCCTCAGCTGGGGAGGCGTGGTTGATGGTATCAGTTGACCCTGTTGGTTAGGTTAAGCCCACCTGGGTGATGTCATAAGCCTGGACCTCATTTGGCTCGCCCAGGTGTACCTCCCACCTGGCTCGGGGGCTTGAGTATGAGCAGGCTCAGTTGGGGTCTTCATAGGTGTCTAATGGTTGCCTGATTTCTTTCCAACCTCCTCTATGGGGGCCTTTGAAGGCATGGGAGGGACAGCCCCACCATTCCTGAGCTAGCTATCTAACAAAACCATCACTGTAACCTTTCAGAAGTCTCAGTGTCTGAAGCCACAAAGGGAAACGTGGCTCTGTAGCGGAGGCAAGGAGCCCTGGTGGCAAAG